ATATACATCAACGTGAGCGAGGTTGTTGGAAGTCTCACATCGACTAGAAACAAGTCCAATTCACAACTTGTAAGTGGGTTCAGACCGTAGCTTACAAACCAATTTTGTGGGGTTGAGTTAGGCATAAAGTCAACTTCTTAATAGTTTTTCTAGGTTAGTTTTTTGTCCTTATCGATGGGAATGGTTATGGAAGTAATAGTTTTCTAAAAGTAATCAGGAGAAGCAAGCACTAGATAATTATTTAAATATAATTGAAAAAGGAGGGATTAACTAAGTTTAAGATTTTACGACAAGATTGGATGATATTTTGAGATTTTGGAGTAGGGTACGGCGACCTTTAGATCGATAATTAAGGTAACAAATATTGGAGGAATGACAAAAGAGTCGTCTTGGTATGCGTCCAAACAGGATTAAGATGTATAAAATTTTAAAGGATATTTTCTAGTGAATTGGGATGAATATAAATAATTTAACATTAAAATTACACTTCAAGCAAAATCTAGCAAAATCCAAACAATATTCTATAATATTATTATAAATATATAATAAATATTTTTAATGGATTTGGTACAGATTTTGAATGAATATATTTGTTACAAACTATAGGAACTACATAACTACATTGAATTATTTGAATAAATGGTAGAACTTTTATTGGTACAAGTAAATGAAGTTCTTGAACAATCTAATTTCAAATTGAAGCTACACAAGGATGTCCACTGTTGACTACATCATCCGAAACAAATTTCCTCCAAAACCAATGTGATTTCCAAACTTTGTTCATTTCTTCGATTCGAACATTTCTTGTCTCGGGTAGGAGCAATGCAACAAAAATGGTCATGATAAGCACAAATCCAGCAAAGAAAAAGAAAAGACCAAACTTCAGGTGACAAAGCATGGTTAGGAAAACTTGAGCAATGAAAAAGGTAAATAACATGTTTACAGCAACATTGGTGCCCTGACCTGCAGATCGAACCTCAAGAGAACATATTTCACTAGGAACCAACCACCCAAGGGGACCCCAAGACAATGCATATGCTGCAACGTATGCGCATATAAAGAATAAGAGAAGACTGGCTTCTCCATTGGTAAAATAGCCTTCACCACTCACACCAAACTTTAGAGCAATCATGATTCCAACAGCAAGCTACACATATTATGAACTTCAAATTAGTTCTTCATGCTAGCAAATGACTTTAGTAATAAAAATGTTATTTTTAAATATTAAAATAACAAAAATCGTTTACCGATTAAGTTAATATTTTTACCTGACAAATAAGCATTTGAATCCCACCTTCGAGGAACAATATCCTTCTTCCAAACTTGTCCACAGAGAAAATGGAAACAAAAGT